AACTGATGTGTTACTGAGTTGACTGGTGGATGAATGTTTTATAATCAGTGGTAGAGCTGGAGTTTGTGACCACCAAATAGGAGAGGGGGTAGGGGTTTAGGTCCTTGAATTTACTTACGAAAAGCAAGAAACATAATTAAGACACATCAAACAAAAGTCTAATAAATAGTTTATCATGTTAACCAAACAATGATGAAAGCCCCTCTGCTCCCACTTACTACACCATTGTTCAGAAAGCCCCTCGCACTGATTACGTCACTGTTTGTTCAGAAAGCCCCTCCCACTGACAACGCCACTGTTTGTTAAGAAAGCCCCTTCCACTGACTACGCCACTGTTTGTTAAGAAAGCCCCTCCCACTGACTACGCCACTGTTTGTTCAGAAAGCCCCTCCACTCCCACTTACTACGCCAGCGTTTGTTCCAGACACATGAAACCCACCTAATACTGGCAAGTGGTCCCTGTAGTAAAATCCAGCAGCTGTGGCCTTGATACACTTCAGATCCAACTTTCCATCTTTGCCAAGACGATAATTATTTATGAAACCGTTTGTCCACTCCACTCTGATCAAACCTTTTGTCAATTCGTCTTTGGAATCTCCTATGTCTATCACTCTGCCTTTTTTACCATCACCACCTGATAAAACCAAATAGCATGTTATGTATATCTAGCTATACATCTACCTTAAACTTTAAATAACTTTATACAATAACAATAGAATCGACAATTTAATATTTACATTACGATTCTTCGAAAATAAAATAGAACCTGCCGTCTAATGAATTCTAATGGCTACCCGACGACTTTTAAGCCCAAAACACCCGTGTTTGCTACGTGCGGGAAAGCTTTCCATGCACAAGTAGGATGTCAAGCCACCTGCGTACTCACCGTTGAATACAGCCGTGGTCATCTTCGCATGCTATTGACGAATACATCAACAAAGACTAACATGTTGTGGACAGTCTAGAGACACCTGTCCACTTTTGGTCGCTTACAACAGGCGGCAACTCTCCTAAAACACCTACCGTCTTGTTCCTGCCATGCCCAGTCACGGCCCCTGACCACCTTGGCACCCTCAGCTATGCCCATGGCTTGAACCTTTTGACTATAAAGACGCTTTGGTACCCGGCAAGGGCTAAAATAAATCGTATAAGAAATTGTAAAAAGTAATGAGGATAAAACAATTTTCTTTTTGTTTTCATCCAAGACAATATTTGTTTTTGTTTAATTGTTTTTTTTTTCCTTGGAATTTGTTGTTGTTGTTAACTTTTGTTATTAGATTGCGAAAAGATGAACACCAGGGAACTTTTAAGACCGACTGAGAGTACATTTTAAAAATCGTATTATTTAAAAATGGAATAAACTTGTCATTGAAACTGTTGTACAATTAAAGGTGAAAATGTCGACCTTTCCCAAAACCTATAATACGCAACTGATGAAATAAAAACTAAATATTCTGGCATAATTTATTATTTAATTTTGCTTATTGAAAGTGGATGAAATTGAAGTCTTGTATTTTATATGCTAGGAATTTTATTTTGAATATCACCAGTATGTCAAAGGTGAACCAACATTTTATCAGAAGGATTCTCAAATCTCCAGAAGCGGTGACCAAGGTCGTGGACATCCCTCCCGTAACACTTGGCGCATAGGTCAAAGTCTTCACACACCGTGCACTTCCAGCGTATGCCTTGGATGGGTTTATGCTGGCAACCATCACATCTAATACCATCGTGCTCTACGTCTGGTGACATTTTTTTTTAAAAATCATTTATATTGTTGTTGTTGTTTTGTTGTTTTTTGGGGGGGTTTTTTTGTTTGTTTGTTTTTTTTTTTTTTTTTTTTTCTTTTAATACCATCGTGCTCTACGTCTGGTGACATTTTTTTTTAAAAATCATTTATATTGTTGTTGTTGTTTTGTTGTTTTTTGGGGGGGTTTTTTTGTTTGTTTGTTTTTTTTTTTTTTGTTCTTCATTTACTGAGATGTATGCCTTGAAAAAGAATAAGATCGATTTGAATCACCAAAATACATTAATTTCTTTTTAAAAAAATCGATTTAATAAAAAATAGCGTAGTAAAAGCATATTAGAGCAGTTTTAAAAAATGAGCACTCTAAGAGCTATGATATTTCATTAATTTCATGGACAAAAAATAATGCGACCAAAAAATTTAGCATATTTTTATCATAAATATATTTTTATAAAGATAACGTTCATTAAGCGAAGATAAATTAATACAAAACGATACCAACGGCTATATTTAGGTCTGGTCATTTTTTTTTTTAAGGAGCTGGACAGAGGTGTTATAACAATAAAAATACTTTTGAAATTTACTAATAACGGTAAATATAATAATTTAGACAATTTTTTGGGGCCTTTCTCCATCGTTCACTTACTTATTTGAGCGTTGTCGAAAACCAGTAAATCAAACTGCCCGCTCTGTCCCACTCTGCACACGCTTTGATGGCCCGAATCCCAAAGCACGGTAACGTGTTTCCAAGAAGACGCCAACAGACCCATGCCAGGAGTTTCCACCACGGTTCCGACGTGCCCTTCACCGCCATCTTGGTTCTTCCACTTCCAGCCCGGACCACGCACCACGCGCAGTCCGAGGCAGGCGTCGGTGACGTCATACGTCTCAGTGGAGGTCGCAGCATCCTCCTCTGATGCTTCGTCACCATCATCGTCGTCATCGTCGTCATCGCTGTCATCATCTTCGGTGTCACTGGCCAACATCAGGTCACTGTCGGTTGTGGTGTCGTCATCAGAATCGGAGCTGGTGGCGTCAGCCCATGAATCCTGTTGAAATTGAATACTCAACTCTGCGCATCTGACATTTTCTGTATAATTAAACAGTTTAAAAGTAGCATAACAATAACAGCTGGGGAAATTAATTAATTATTTTAAAGGGGACAAACACACACACATGTCATAATAAAAATATTTAAAAGAAATAAACATATATTTCTGTCATTCGAAATTTGAATAAAACTTCTTTATATTAAACAATTGTTGCATTCAAACAGCATTTCTCGGGAAGGGTTTCCCATTTTCATAAGTTGCGACACCCCAGGGTGGATTGGGGGGGGGGGGCGAATTATCACTTTAAAAAAAAAGGGGGGGGGGGATAAAGGAAAAGCGTTTATAAGAACGGGGGATCTCTTGACCTTTAAGATTGTTTAAATATTTTAAAACATATTTAGTAAATTTTCTAATTTTTTTTTTTTTTGTAGTAACAACTATACTTTCAAAGTTAAAATATAATGGAGCCTTAGAAGTTTGCGTCCCAGATTTTAAAATGAATCGCTACTACTTAGTCAAACCATTCGAGAGCGGACATTTTTCAAAGATTTTAGGGTTTAGGGTGGGGGGGGGGGGGGGTTTGGTTTACATTTCAGTGAAAACAAAACTATTACAAATAATTTTAAAAAACAATACAGCAAAGATCACGACGAAAAAAAACAAAAAAAACGAAATTTTACTCTTTAAGTTCCAGATGATACAATTCTCTAATCAGAAAGGAATTTCAGAGTTAATTTTTTTAACCAGGTGTTGGTTCCTGCCAATTCATTCAATAGACGATCGTCTCCCATTGATCATTTTAACTGTAATTTGTATTCGTTTAACACTTTTTTAAAAAAAAAAAAACGTATAAATTTAATTTTTAAAAATGAATTTTTCAAGAACGTAATGGACCTTCACTTGGCTTTGGCATCTGAAATAAATTTACAACTGCACTGGCGCAGAAAGGGGCTTTAGGCATTTTTTATGTTATAACTTTAGGTTAGCGTAAATATTTTATTATACAGTTTAATAACATTAATGCCAGGTGGACAGTGGCGCAGCTAGGATCGTTCTTGAGCCACTGGACTCTCTAAACACTTCTTCAAATCCCAAACCGACACTTTTGTTCACATGATTATTTACATGATTATTCCAACGCATCCCTAAGTTTAAGTACTCTGCAGAGGAATGACAATCATGCAAGTTTTTTTTTTAAAATGTTTTTACTAAACATGTTTGATTCCTTATTGCAACGATATGACAATTAAGAATTTAAATAAAGGTAACGATAGGCCACTTGTAATTTTTTTTTTTTAAATCATTCGCGTGCATATTTGAAAACTAAAAGACGTTAGTTCTTATAACTAGTACTAAACAGTTGACTTATCATCTTTCGTTTTATAGGGGCGGGATTTATTGTTATTGCCTACAGCACAAAACAATCTCAAGCCATAAAAATAATTTAAAAAATTCTTCCCTATTGAGAGAACAAACTTAAGCCGTCAATGAATCGAATTATTTTTTTTTTTTAAAAAGGGCTTAAAAATTATTTTTTTAATGAAAATATATTATTTACCTCATGCGTTTCGGGCAAACCATCAACCTCGGTCCTGTTACCTAAAGGAAGATTTGCAAAACACTTTACCATCATTTTACCATTGAAAGTGAGAGAACAAGATTGCTATCTGCTTTATAATTGTAACGTATGTATTTGGGTTTAAACATATCTTTTAGTCTATTAGGTTTTAAAAGCACTAAGTTTTATTTATTTTTTTAAAACATTACCGTACCAAAAGCCAGTAGCTACAATCACATAAACGATAAAGCAAGTACAATTAAATAAATGCAAATAAAAATGCACATAAGTTATTTATACGAAAAACTTTGTTTTTTAGGGAGTTTTTAATGTTGAATTTAAATTATAATTGCAGCACACACGCGAAACTTTGAGATATTTAACATTGCCATAAGAATAGGTTTCTGTTCAAATCATCCTGCCGATTACAGTATAGGCTGCGTGAGGATTGAGGTAAATTTTTATGTTACCAAATATTTTTAATTTTTAATTTAGTTAATGTCTATCACAAATTCATTTTTTTTAATCAGCTCAAGGCTTTAACAATTTTATTTGTGGTGAAAAAAACCTACCTAAAATGGGAAGGTGGCCTTTGTAATAGACGCCACCGGATGTTGCAGCGACGCACTTGAGGTCGACTTTGCCGTCGTCTCCAAGTCTGTATTTGTTCTTGTCACCCATCTCCCATTCAACATTAACCCACCTTCCTGATGTAACTACCTTGCCCGTCCTGCCCTCGCCTCCTTCGATACATTGATAACAATAATTATAATGAAAATCATAATAACTAATTGTGTGCTAGGCTGCAATGGTTCACAAAAAAAAAATTTAAACAAATTTTTGTTTGACCGATAAAGGCACGAAGCCAAGACGCCTAGATTTGACTGCTGTCCTTTAATAAAAGCTAACTGTGTTGTTAACTTACTCACATTGTTTTTAATTAAATTTAAAACGAAAAGTACTAATTTTTTTTTTTTAAATCACTAAGCGAAAACTACAGAAAAATTTGTTGAGAAAGCTGTTTAAATGTGAATACACAGAATAAAGACACAACTGATTCACTGCTTACATCGTCAGATGATGTGTTATTCTTCATTTGACTACAAAAATTACAATAAAACAAAGAACAATTTCAATACCCCTAAATTGTTTAAACACTGTCAATTATGTTTTAGCGCATGATGTTGGATCGCACGCTGCAGTTTTTTTTTTTCAAATATTTAAAAAAAAAAAAGGAATTGAAATTTTATCACTTGAAAGCGAAAAGTATATGGATGCCAGACGTACTAGGTCAATAACTATGTTTCTTGAGAAGAGATAATGGAATTGGCAATTTCTGCATCAACTTTAAATAACGCACCGAACAACAACCGGTGGAATGCGGTACGGTCCCATCTATTAAAATCACTTGACAAAACATGCTTGTCAGTAGAGCAATGCAATAGGAGTCAGATTTGACTTGAAACGATGTCCGTACAGAAAGCAACTATTACTATCAATTTTCATTGACAATCTGAACTGTATATTGCGCGTCTAATGAACACACATATGCACGCTGTTCAGTGCATTACAGCAATACATCCATTCTTAGAGAGTTATTATTTGTGACAAGACACTGCCAAATTTCGCAGAAGTAAAAACAATCTATTTAAGCTTTAAAGACATATACAAAAAATCAACACCAAAAAAAAACACACACAAAAAACTAAACATTTCGGCAGAAGTGACCTTGCAAAAATTATAATTAAATTCTATATAGTGTATTTATCATTCCTTGTAAAATAGTTTCTTTCTTCCCATTATTTCTATTATCTTTATAGATGTCCAACACTTTCTAATAGGTAACTTTGCAAGTCACTCAATTTATGTGGTTTTTGCATTTGCATTAGAATCGCTTTTTGGAACTGAAATGGCACGCAAAAAGTTGCCGTGTGTAATCACCATCTTGATTGTCCCATTGCCAGTCAGGTCCCCTCGTGACAGTGGCGCCGTTGAAAATTCCTTTCGCTTCTATCTTGTCAGCGCAGCTGTCACTTCGACTTGGTACTGAGATTCTGGAGGAGAAAGTGACAATAGTTTTTGTTAACCTTTTCTGCTTGTGGTTATGTTTCTATATGTGAATTTGTTGGTTTGAATTGGAGGCTGAAATTATTTTCATTTTACTTCAAAAATTAATGACATATTTTTTTAAAAATATAGAAAATAACAGAATAATGTGTTGCTAATATGAATAAGAAGAATTTTGGTGTTAAAAAAAAAAAAAAAAAAAAAAAAAAAAAAAAAGGAAAAATATAATTGATACTCCGTCACTGACCCCCCTGGCGAGTCGGTTTCAAATCTTTCAAATGGATGCGAGGTATCATGCAAGTCCTTCATGTAGCATCCAGTGCAGAGATGGATGAGTGGACACTGTGAACATGTCCATCGCAGACCACATATGAACGGAGTAAGACAAGCACTACAAGGTTTGATGTGTACCACACCTGTGTCATAAGGAATAAACACGAGTGCATGTCTATACACCTCTAGCTAGTAAGTGACACGGACGATATCAGAAGCTATACTGGCGTAACTACACACTAGATTGGAATGGTATTAGACACCCGCCTGCAGAACACATTAAATGTTAGGTGTTTGTACCGGCATACAGGTAATACTTGATGTTAAATCTAAACGGTTAAGCAAGCACAGCCTTTCACACGTGTTGAATGTGTTATGTGCTCGTACTGGTCTGAAGAACACAGAACACAGAGGTTATGTGTTTCAATTGTTCAACCCTAAACGACACATCTGCTGATCTTATTTACAAAAGGATATTAGCGACACACTGAATGTGTTTTTTTACATGTTCCTGTCTAGAGAACACACTGGGTGTATCTCTTATATAACAGTAAGTCTAAACAACACATAATGTATGTGTTTATATGCTCCACCCAAAAAGAATATTTGCTGTGTCCCTTTTTTCCAAATAAGGGATGCAAACCATACACTATATGTGTTTTGTGCATGTTGTGCCATAGAGTACACATCATATTGATCTCTTACACAATTTCAAGTCTTAAGGACACTGAATTTCTTTTGTTTTATCGTGCGACTTTCATCAAGTGCACTCTACTTACCTTTAACAATTATATTCTAAAAATACATTTTTAAGTGGAAAACCTGTTTGTCTGGTTTTTTCTCCATCCCTCATTCAATAACAAGAAAATGGCAATCATTTCAAATGCGTTTGATTTGGTTAACACTCAACTTTTATAAAAATCATTATAAGCAATAATTCCTCCCCCTCCCACTAAAATATAATGACCAGTACTAACCACAAGGAGCACTGTCGTAGACATGGAGGTCGTAGGCTTCCTCATGTCCTGCTCTGTACTGATGCCTTGCTCCTGAGTCCCAGACAACTGTGACGTGCTTCTCCGGAGTTTGAGACCCGCTCTGCCCACCGATTTCGACGACGGTACCAACATGACCTTCACCTCCATCCTGGTCTTCGTACGTCCAGTCGGGTCCACGGACAACGCGAATTCCAGGTTTCATCTTGATTAACAAGTTCCCCATTTTGTAGACAGCAACAAAGTCCTTTCATTTAAACCGCACCAACAACCTTTGTAGCACTGTCAACACACTTAGGCCGTGCCGCTCCTATAAATGGCATGTATTATTGACTGAATCGGCTATGGGTAATCGTATAAATAGACTTTTTTCTTGTTTCATTTTCCCCAGGAATGTTGGTGTCAGCATTTATGTTTCGCTTTATGGGTTAGCAGAAGCTTATTCACAGTACCATGTTTTCTGATTCCGGGAAGCCCAAATTTCCACATATTTTTCTTTAAGCCCTCCGACAGTTTCTTATGTAAAATATCCTAATTTTAAGTGATGTTTTTTTAATGTCCTATTTTTTAATATCGTATTTTTATTTCCAAATTTTAATGTTTTAAGCTTTAATTTCCTATTTTTGTATCTCCCTCTTTTAATTGTCCAACTTTTAAATGTCCTATTTGTATGTCCTAAATGTTAATGTTCTATCTTAATGCCCTATTTTAATGTCCTAATTTTCATTGTCCCATTTTTAATATTCATTTTCAATATCCTATATTTTTTTTCCTATATTTTTAAGTCCTAATTTTTAATGTCCTAAATTTTAATGTCATATTTTCAATGTTCTAATTTTCAATGTGCTATTTTTCAATGTCTTAATTTTCAATTACCCAAGTATTAAAATTCCAATTTGTCAACATCCTATTTGTCAATGTCCTATTTCACAATGTGCTTGCAAACAATTCTGGCCACGAGTCGGTGGACTTTTGTTTGCTTGCCCCATTCCGTTTTCCCCGACTCAAGTTTAGTTGCCTATTGTTTAAGGTGTTGCACGCACCAGTTGGTTCAAAACAAGAAGCGGTGTGTATTGACAACTACTGAATACTGGATTCGTCTTTGGCTCGGAACGGATAATTTTGATGTCCTAACGTGACTGCGATATTTCGATACTCCATGTCTTTTCAAAAGTTCGATACTCTTTGTCTTTCAATAGTTCGATACCCGTTGTCTTGTCAAGGCTTTCAAAATAATAGAAAAGTCGGCAATTTCCCCTGCAGATAATAATCATGGGATCAAAGTGATAACATCATTGAAATTCAGACAAGTTTTGTTGATTTAATTGTTTTGTTATTGTTTAATCATCAGGCGAATTGTTTGGGTTTTTTATATAATGATCTAAAAATTGTTTCTGTAGTCATTTCCTGAACATTTTAATGTTTTATTCCTAAATGAATTAAAATTGCATTAATACCATCCCTAATAGAGACACTGTTGCTCCAACCCCCAGCACATCATTGCTCTCTTACGCTCGTCTCCAAAGACGCAGTCAGGTGTGTGGACAGCGTGGGGCGTGCATGTTTTCATTCACAGCCTGGTTCGAGCGTACGTAATGAAATCAAAAGGCTGATTGCCAAAGTTCAACGACAGCCTAACACAGTTCAGTACTGTATCTACATTATCGACGTGGCCTAAGCTTAACTTGTGTTTTATTGATTGAAAGGTAGGCCGGGGGTTTTCCCCAAACCTACCAATCATTACGGGTTCCACTTTTCCGGGGAAATCTTCGATTTAATCGATTTTTTTTCCTTTCATACAAAACACATTGGGACTTTTGAAAATATCGATACTTAAAACAAGCTGTATTAATCTATGATGAAACTTTTCTTGCCATCATGCCTTAAACTAGGTTTGCTCCTCCACAAGGTCACTGTGTTTGCCAGATGACTTTACATTGACAGCCTTGCAGGCTTCGAGTGAAGGTCTGCTAGACATTAAACAAAAATATAACTAGGTAATATACGTTGTTCGCGCTGCGATCGTTGCTTATTCCCTCTTGGTTACTGGCGTTTATTAAAACAATGTTATAAAATAGAGGAAAAAAGCAAGTAAAAAAATGACTTCTTTTGAAAAACCATCAAAATATGTCCTCTAAAATATTTTTATATTGGGAATAATGTAAAAAATATTAGACAATAATGTAAATATATAGGAAATAATATAAAAATGTTTAAAATAATTTAATATACTCCCTCTGGTAACTCAATGACTACTTTAAATGTAATGTATCATCTCGGTTACGAAATATATTTTACTTGGTAAAGCAGTAAATGGTAATTAAAAACGGTTTAACCGTCACAGACTGTTCCCATCTGTGTATGCTAAGACAGCTTTCTGTGTTGACTATCTAGTGTAATCAACACTTACAGTTTTCTTTAAACTCATCCCTAAAAATACATCTGACACAGACTTTTTAAAACCAATTTTCGCTTATTGAGGTTTAACAATTATAAACATAAACAACAAAATAGGTATTTTTAAAAACAATTGAAGTAAAGAAAAGGAAAAATAAACTTCATAAATTTACAATAAAGTCATGCTGTATTCCAATAAGTTTATTTCTTCCACAACAACATGTCTCGTGGAAACAAATTTATAAAAAAAAAATTAAACTGATTACAAATTATAAGCATCAAAATTAAATCAGTTTCAAACAACCACACAAAAATGTATTTTTGTTTAAAAAAAGTCGTATAATGAAGATTTTTTGTACTAAAAAAAAAAAACTACACTCATCCACAAATATTTGAAATAATTAAATAACTACGAAACGTAGACAATTTTATGATAGTCTAATACATATAATATAATATAATGTGAATTAAGCAAACACAATTTAAACAATTTAAGAAAATAAATTGTTAAAACTCTTTTTGATATTTTAGACAGTTTCTTTTCAGAGAAGAGTTTAATTTCTTTTTTTTTTTTCTTGAAGTTAAAATGAGCAATGAAGAAAATAAAGGTAGCCAGTTGCTATGACTTCTAGAAAGTATAACACACTATGACACACGCAAACATTGTCTGGGGTCACATCATGTTTTGTTTAGACTGTAACCAGGTCATGTTATTCAAAAAGAACCCTTCCTTATGTGTGTACACTGAGTGACTCCGAGAGAAGGCACGAGAGATGGTGAGACTGAGAGCAAAACTTCCCTTCCTGGCTAATCATCTTGTTAACTAATTGTGTAAGCCAGTCCTCACCAAGTAAGTTGTATCATATGTGATACAATGCAGTCCTGACTAAGTAAGTCATTTTATATGGGATACACTTAATTTAGAATTTTAAAAACTTTAAAAAAAATTATTTTAAAAAAAAGATAAAATATAAAACTATGTTTCTTTATTGCTAATTGAAGCAATTTATTTTAATTGAAAATTTGGTGTACACATATTCCTATGGCTTTATTCTATTTAGACACATTTTTGTGTGTGTCTCATCAACTATCTTAATAAATATATGCGTTAAAATAAGCCATTACAATGTAAAAATTTGAAGATTATTGCATTGTTTAATCTCTAAACGACTTTTTCTTATCTCCTCCATCCATTCAATCATTCAATCAAAGTTGCTGTCGCTCTTAAAGGATGAAAGTTCGCAGCCAGTTCTCAATATCTGCTCGACACAAAGGACATGTATCTAGGTCAGTAGCACATTCCGGACACGTGATTAGATGGCCGCAGGGCACAAAGGCAACGCATGCCTCTTCAGATGTACATATATGGCACTGGGGCTTATCTATTGACGAAGCGTTCTCAGTATATGTGCTGGATGTCCCATTCTCAGATCCCGCCTCCTTCTTTGGGCTACATGCCCCATTCTGAGTCTCGCTCTCCACTTTTGGGCTAGATCCCCCATTATCAGATCCGCTCTCCGTATCTATGCTCGATGCTTCATTCCCTGACCCAATGTCTTCTATTGATTTGGTTTTCCCCCTCATGTGATGACGTAGAGTTGCTATAACTTCTTGAGAATTCAACCAAGCCTAATAAAAGTTTCAAATAAAATATATAACTAAAATAATGTGTAAAACAAAACGAAATAATATTTTGACCTTTGCAAAATATTTCATAAGACATTAACGCAACATGCTATACTAACTTGTTTACACAAATAGTTTGAGGTATTTTGTTCCAGACATCTAGTACCAAAGGCTTTATTCACATTCGACTTTAATTATTATTATTAAGTTGTTTTCAATTAATAATTTCTTCCATTGCATTATTTTAACATCAAATGATAGATAATTATTATTTCACGAACAATGTGCTTAAATGAAATCATCAACTTAATGTGGCTAATTAAATGTTGCGTTCTCATTTGCATATGTTCTATAGACATTTTTTTTTATTTAAAAAAAATAAAAATGGTAATGTCTCCCTAAAAGGACGTTAAGAATAATTATGCTAATGATAATAATAAGACGCTTACACTGCTTAAATCCTGAGGTTCATAGGTTATCTTGACCTCGCCTTTGTACTGGACAACGATGTCTCCGTTCTTTGCAACACTGACCACTGTTCCTATTTTATTTAAAAACTAATTGGGACACAAAATTGAAAATATTTATCATACTGATACGTTATATATATATATATATATACACAATGGTATTAAATGATAATATATCTTTGAAAAAAACAGTGATCATGGTTTTTGTTTTTGAATAGCTTAACTTCCGTTTCTATCACAGAGCGATGTGTTTTCTTTCTAATCATAGCGCTGTATTGGGGATTTTTAACACACAAGTGTTTGATTTCTTATCATAAGCGGTTTCTTGTCTTGTCTTATCTGCCGAAGAACACGTTTAGCATAAACATCCTTTTTAATGTTCCTGCCTATTTCTCTTCAGTCCTAAAAATATATTGGGCCACTATTTATTAGCGTTAATAAAGTTACGTGACTCGTATAATTATTACACAAACAAATTGTGTTCTCATAATTCATGCTTCTGAAGTTTTAATAAGGCTTTGAGCTTAATTTAAATTTTGCTGTCTGCCACTTTTTTCTGCATTTTCAAACATTCATAAGAAATATAAACAACTTTTGAAGCGAGCCTATCAAAGATATAATGTTAAATTTAAAAAAAACAAAAACAAGTGTAATTTTTTATGCAATTTGATTTGTTCAAAACAATTTCTATATTTTAAGAATAGGTCGTAGA